CTGCTGTGTTCATCCAGCTCTACACCTTGCTATCTTTCAGAGATACGTGTAAATGGACAGTGCAGAGAACTCCATTCTGGTCCCTTACCTCTGTGCAGACTCTTCTGTAAAGCTATCCAAATTAGCAGACTCTTCCCTCTCCTCAGCCCTCCATCCTTCTTTCCAGATCATGCTGAGAATTCCAATGATTGTCCCATTGCTGCTTTGGAATGCTCGGAGTCAATCTGCTCCAACCACTCTTTCTGGCTGAACAATGTGCTCATCACAGCTCTTCACCGCATTCGCAAATCATTTCAAGTCTCTTCCCCCTGTAACCTCCATCTGTGTCCTCCTACAGGTCTGTAACCGATCGCCCTCAATCTGTGTTCCCTTCTGGGTGTCTCATCGATTGCCCTCAATCTTTGGCCTCCTCTGGATCTGTGAGTCATCAATCACCCTCAATTCGTGTCACCCTCTAGGTCTATAACTGATCGCTATCAATGCATGTCACCCCACTCTAGGACTCTCACCAATTTCCCTCAACCTGTGTCCCCCTCTAGGCTGTAACCGATCGCCATTAATCTGTGTTCCCCTCTGGGTCTCCCACCGATTGGCCTCAATCTGTACAAACTAGAAAACCTCCTGCTTCTGTGAAGATTGTATGGGGGGAGTCCTTTGGGACCCCACTCCAGGTTGCCGGCTACGCCCGGGACAGAACCAGTGCCGGATGTGTGTACTTACACTAGCTGTTTGATCGCTGTGGGTGTGTACGTGTCACCTTTAATCTGACGGATCCGCCTCACAAGCGTCTCATTCCGGCGCGACAGCTCGTATTCCTCAAAATTAAACTCCTTCTTCACCAGGTCTGAGAACTGCATGACCGCAAACTACACACAGGGCAGTCGGGGAAGGATACCAAAGGGGGTGCCAGGGACGGATACGTGCAGCGGAGTGGGGGACGGACACAGAGAGAGAGGGTGAGAGGACAGGGGTCAGTGAGACTGACAACATACCGTGTACACACCCCAGAAACAACACACTGGCGAACAAACAACCACCCCCAGAAAATACACGGGAATACTTTCACACATGCTACCCCCACCACAGTAGGACCCACACATCGTTTAGCCTCCTACACCCCCACCCAAACTCTGTAAGATCCTCCATTCCCTACGTGACTCCCAGGTACTCCGGTGTCAGTGGGTTGGCGCCAAGCGAGCACTGCACCGTCCCAGGGTCGATGCCGAGGGAGCGCCACACTGTCCGAGGGTCAGTGCTGTGGGGGCTCCATACTATTGGGCGGTCAGTGCTGAGGGAGTGCCACACTGTTTGAGGGTCACAACTGGGTGACACTACATAATTTTAGGAGCAGGAAGGCTGACGTTTCGGGCCT